TGACAGCCCCACTGGGAAGCCTGTCCTATGGCATTACCCACATCTTGCCTGGGAGGAGAGAGGGATCCTGGAGGCAGGCTCCTTCCCTGTGCTCCCCCTCATCCTCATTGCAGGGGACCCATGGGGCTGGGGTGCCATGGCCCCTGGGAGCAGGCACAGAGGCAGCCGTTGTGGGCCCGGGGGCTGCTCCTCACCTATGCGGTCCAGCCGGTCCATGGCCACTGTCTCAAAGGCCCTGCGCATCATGGGATACTCCTCCAGCACCTCATTGAAATTATCCACTGACAAGGAGTAGAGGCGGCAGTAGGTGTCAGCTCGCACACTGGCCGTCCGCCTGCCCCGCGTCAGCAGGCAGATTTCTGCAGGGAGACAGGTTTGGGTGTCAGGATGACGCAGCCATCTGTCCCCTTCCCGACAGCCTCCCCAGAAAATGGCAGTTAGAGTGGGGACAGGACTGCCCAGCGCTCCCACACCCTGCACAGAAACAGAGCACGATGCAGGAGGAGAGACAGGCCTGGGAGTTCGGACAGCCACACCCATGCCCATGGCCCGACACAGCCTTTTTCTCCCTCCCCGGGCCATGGAGACATCCCTGGGCATGGCTTCTCCGGTCACCTGGCCTGTTTCTCTCCCAAACCCGTGCTTGTAGCCTATAAATTGGCTCAGATGCCCTGCTCTGAACGACCGTCCTCTCCAGCCAGAGGTGGGGTGGGTGGATGCCCGCTCTGCCCAACCCAAACAGAATTCAGGGTTCTGACTGTCGGTCCCTCTGATTCAACCTGCTGGACAAGGTACCCCATAAGGACATGGGTGGCGGACTTCTGAGCCCCAGAGCCTGGTGTGAGGTGGATGCCAAGCCTTCGGTACTGGGTGAGAGGGGATAGGCAGAGGGTGCAGCAGGCAGAAACATCAGGGATGCCCTGGCTCCTGCCCCCCAGCAGCTCTCACTCCCCTCTGCTCTCCATGTCCCCCAGCCCAGCCTCACCCCCAAAGTAGGAGCCATCAGACAGCTTTGTCTCCTTGTTGCCCTTGGTGAGGATGCTGACCACCCCGTGCTGGATGAAGTACATCTTTTTGCCCACGGTGCCCTCGCGGATGATGAAGTCCCCAGGCTGGAAGACCTCAAAGCGCAGCTTGGTCAACATTGCTGTCACAAAGTTGGGGTCCGCATTGGCAAACAGGGGCATGTTGGCCACCAGGTTGCGGCAGTTGAAGTTGATGATCTCCTGTGGTGTGAGAAGCAGGTCAGCGGTGACATCACTGAGCCTGACCCCAGCAAGCCCCCCGCCCCCAACTCACCAGCACTGGGGTGCCTGCCCATACCTCTTTGAGTGGCTCACTGAGCTCCCCCAAGATGTTCTCCTCATCGAACATCTTGCCCTGGTAGCGGTGCTCATAGTACTCATGGATCCGCTGGCGTGTGTCCCCAGGCAGCTTGTGGAATGACATGTACTGCTCCACTTGCTTGTACTGTGGAGACAAGGCAGAGCCACATGGGGCCGCGCTGAAACAAGCTGCACTGCACCAGAGGCCAGCGGCACTGCCAGTGGATGCTTTCCTTCTCCTTGGCGGTGAGAAGCAGCTGCTGCCAGAGCCGGGATCCAGCCACCCCTGCTCCAGGGCCCTGTCTCAAAGGCCGCCTCCAGAGCAGAGGATAGGACACCTGTGCCCTCAGTGTGCAGAGGGAAGGATGGGTCCTCACTAAGCTGAGGTGAACCCCAGCATCATGATCGGGGCATCTCTGTCCCCATGGGTAGCCTGACACCAGTCCCACACCCCCCGGGTGAGTGGCACGGGCAGGGATCAGGGCAGGAATCTGCAGGGAAGGGCAGCCTGTGCTGAGCAGATTTTGGAGCTGGATCCACTCGTGCCAGGGCATCTTCCCCCAGTACTCGGGCACTCACTACCCCACCCCACTGACCTTCTCCTGGTACTGGCGCCGGGACGAGTCCAGCGACTGGATGAGGGCGGTGGCGTGGCCGATGAACATGGCGTAGCAGGTGGCCCCCACGATCATGCTCAGCATTGTGAGCCAGACGTCAGTCATGCCCTCGGGTGCCTGCTGGCCGTAGCCGATGCAGAGCATGTGGCTCATGGCCTTGAACAGGGCATGCGAGTACTGCTTCCCCCAGGAGTCGTTCTGCAGACAAGGGAACAGCGGCGCTTGGGGGTCTGTTGGAAGAAGCTGCTCCAGTCCCCCCTCCCCAGAGCCAGGGGTTCCAGAGCCCCAGCAAGGAAAAGGTTTCTGACATGTCCAAGCCCAAAGGGCAGAGCTCTGCTCTGGGAGGAGGCATCAGGGACTTTGCAAAGCCCTAAGACTGCACCAGTCCCTGCTGAGGGAGGGGGCAGGAGCCCCACTGCCCTGTTCCCTTCTGGCAGGGCATGAGGGATTCCCCTGGCTGCTCTAACTCCAGCAGCAGCCAAGGTGGGCTGAGATGAGAAGGTGATGCAGAGATTCCCTCTACCCCATCTCATCGCTGTTGCAGGGCTGTGACCAGGGAGACACTGCTCCGCAGCACATGGACCTCTAAGGCAGCTCCAACCTTAGAGGATGAGATGTGTAACCAAATCCTCTCCTCCTGCCGGGTAGATGCACGGCTGGTATCATCCCTTCCCAAGGCACTCACCACCATGCGGTTGATGGAGACCCAGCAGTCCTCAGGGAAGTCTTGCAGCATGGGCACCAGGAACTGGAGGCAGCCATCCCAGTGACACAGCAGCAGCATCATGCCAATGAGGTTGAAGATTCTCACCACAGCACTGGCCAGGTCATATGTCATATGGAAGATCTGGGGAAGAGGCACAAATGGAGCTACAGAGAAACTCTTTTCGCAGAACAGCCCGCTGAACCCTGGCCGGCCAGCCAGCCAGCTGTACCCCACAGCCAGGACCCTTGACCTGGCCAAGACCTTGACCAGGGCCCTTGGATCCTCAAGAGGTTCTCACCTCCTCCCACTGGTGGATGTAGCGGATGAGGCGTGAGAGGCGCAGCAGGCGCAGCAGGCTGAGGATCTTGGTGAAGCGGACAATGCGCAAGGCCCGGGCTGTCTTGTAGACATCAGAATCCACCTGGGTCTCCAGGTCAACAATGAGGAAGATGTAGTCAACTGGGATGGAGGAGACGAAGTCGACCAGGAACCAGCTCTTCAAGTACTTCATTTTGATGGTGTGAGGGTCAAGGATGATCTCTGTGTTGTCCTCCACCACAATGCCTGTCCGGAAGTTCAGCACCAGGTCAGCCAAGAAGAAAGTGTCCGAAAGCACGTTGAAAACAATCCAGGGAGGGGTGTTCTCATCCTTGAAGAAGGTGATGCCCACAGGCAGGATGATCAGATTCCCCACCATCAGGAGCAGCATGATGAGGTCCCAGTAAAACCTGCAGGGACAGAGCAGGGCAGGGAGAAGTGGGGAGAGGCAGGACACAGGCAGTTAGAAAACAAACCCAGGTTCAAAGTCAGAGTCCAACACAACGTGGAGAGACAGGCGCTGAGGATACACGCACACGTGCCTGCCCACACACATGACTAAGACCCTTCTGCTTGGCTGGGACACACGTATGTATATGTGTGCGGAGAGGAGCAATTCTGCACCGGCTCCCGAGGCAGAGCAGGGCCAAGGGTCTTGGGGAGCAAACATCACCCTGTGTGTAGGATCGGAGGGCTGTCGCTTGAGAAGCTTGGCTGTCACTCCTCCTTCGCCTCTTGGTATGGCAATGCATGCACACATATGCCCCCGCCCCAAACTTGACATCTGCCCTGTGGAAAACTCAGGGATGACATGGGCTTTGCTCCCTGGAGCTCCCTGTCATCTGCTGGCTCCCTGCCACCACCCAGGCTGGCATAGCAGGATATAGAAAAAGCTTTGCTGGTTATGCAAACCGAGGGCCAAGCTCCTGGGGCGGCCAAGGGACTCAGGGGCCAGTGAGGCAGTCAGGATTGTAGCATGGGCGAGCCAGGCAGCAGCCAAGCAAGGATAGACAAGTGCCACCGCCACGGGGAAGGTGGAAGGAACATGTCTAGCCCCAAAGGGGCTGCGCACAAGCACTGGGCAGGAGCTACGCAGTCCAGGGCCTGTAGGACAGCTTAATCGACCACCTTTTTCTGAGAATGGGCAAGCTTAGAGGCTTCTGAAGAAAAGCCAAGAGACACCAGGCAGCAGTTATTAGCATTTTGTTATGCCATGAAATTCAGCATCCCCATTCACATGCGAATGTGGCTGGGATGTTTTCAATCTTCACACAAATGCATGTAACGCCTTTCTTCACGAGGCCTGTGATGGCTCCTGCAACAGCTTGGTGGCCTCCGAGGCTTCACGCTCAAAGTCTTTATATGGGTGCCTGGAAAAGCAAGTCCAGCTCCCACCTTTGGGTGCCCCTGTTAGCCCCAGTCCTGGTTGTGGGTATAGACCCAAATCTCCAAAGGTAACCTCAGGGTAACTCTTAGTGCCTTGTGGATCCAAACTGGCTTTTGCATGTGACAAGAAGCCTGCAGGTGTTTTATACCCTGCATCCTCGGTGGGGCACAGGCACTGGGCTTTCTGCAGGTGGCAGGGAGGAGAAGGGAGGAGAAGTCATGGCACCACATGAGCTCCTTCAGCAAGAAAGCAGCAGAGCCTGGCAGGAAGGGGGCCACCACCTCCCCAGGGAGCTCTCCCAGGGCCAGGAGCCTTGCACAAATTAATACCTCCTTGCCAATGGCCAAGGTTTGCTCAGCAGGCAAGGAGATGCCAGCCAAGGCAGAACAGGCCTGACCTGGCTGAGCAATCACCTCCTGCACCCCCATACTGCGCTCTGAGAAACACCACGCACGAGTCGGGAAACCGCCTACCCCCTGCAGCTGCCTGAACCCACCAGGAGCTCTCGATTCAGATTTAGGCTTAAGCTCTTTAGGGCAGGCCCTGTCCTTTGCTCTGTGTCAGGCTGAATGTGTGGGGCGCTGATCTCAGTGGCCTTTATGTACCCCCATAATGTGATAAACACCAGTGTAATCCCACCAGCTGTCCACCTGCCAGCTTGCTTCATGTCACCTTTAGCGCAAGGCACCAGCTGTGCAAGCTACTCCTGCCAAGCTCGGGCTCACAAACTTTGGGCCGCCACCTCCACTAAGAGGGCTCTAACAGCTTGCAGCCCTCGGTGTAGTTCTGGAGCAGCGTGGGGGAGCTGACATGTGCAGGAGCTTGGGGCCCAGCAGCAAGTGGAGCTTGCTACAGGTGCTGGGGACCCACAGCGGGTGCCAGCCCTGCTCCAGGGTGCCTTGCCAGGCTGGGGACATCGGCCATGTCACAGCTTGCTGCGGGAGATGACTGCCTGGCAGCTTCATCCCCCGTAGAGAAAGCCCACCCTATATGACTCAACATTCCCGTGACACCCTGTTCCTCCCACATTATCCGTCCCTGAGCTCTCCCTGTGATCTTGGTGACACCATGAGCCAGGCCCGGCTCCTTGCTCAGCACTCTGTCCTCCTCCAGCAGCTGCCCGGGCTGTGGAGTTGAAGCCCGTGCTGGGCAGGCTCTGTGGGCAGCTCGCGGAACCCGTGTCCCCGTGGGGATGGCACGGCTCCTCACCAGATGCAGAAATTAAAAACAGCGTCGAGAAGGAGGAGGGGAGAGCTTTGCGAAGAGGCAGAGACTGGCAGCCCCTGCCTCCTCCTTCGCACGCCCAGAGCCGGGTCAGTGGAGGTCCTCGGCTCGGCTAGGCTGCTCCCGGCCCAGCGGGAGCCCCCAGGGCCCGGGGTGCGGGGTCCCGGGAAGGGGTTGAGGCAGAAGAAAGTTGCCTACGTTCCCCGTGGGCCCGCGCGGGATAACCCGAGGATGGGGAAGGGGCTGGGGCAGGGCGGCCCCAGGCCCGCGGTGAGGG